TGTTTCTTTTCTTTTTCCTCCAACCACTGCTGTAGTCTCTCTTCTTGTTTCTTTTCTTTTTCCTCCAACAACTGCTGTAATATCTCTTGTCTTTTTTCTTTTTCCTCCAACAACTGCTGTCATATCTCTTGTTTATTTTGCTGTTCGAGCTGCCACTGTTGCAGGTTTTCTTGCAACTGCTGTTGTCTCTCTTCTTGTTTCTTTTGCTGTTCTTGTATTGATGCCATCAAATCTGCTAAGCTGTAGTATGATTTGCCACCTCTCGTTTCCATCGTCTTCTCCTTCTTCTTTTTTTATTTTTATTTTCGGTCCCACTCTCCGGCACCAATTTGTTAAGTCTCTGTTCGTTTGTTAATTTTCCGTAAACATTCTTTCCGAAGAAACTTTAGCGATACAAGTCCTTTCTTAAATGAAACTAGTTTATTCTTTCTCAATACAACTTTGCAATAAACTTAATTTCCACAGTCACGCTATAACTTAAACAAACGCTATAATTCACAACGAACGATTCACGAGCTTGACTCAATTGTCCGTCTCTATCTCTGTCTGCAATTCAATTCCATTGTTGCCGTCACTTCTTACCGATCTTATATATACAAAAAGCGTACATATCGTTTCTTCGTGAATCTTCTAGAATATCATGACGTGTTACTAACGCCACGTGACTACCGCTGTCGTAACAATAGCATTTCATATAATGCTGACAAAATATTGAGATATTACAATAAATCAAATCCTAGAGGCGATGGACAAGTTCTGACTACATTTTTAAAATCAGCACTATCTAGCTACTCCGAATCGCTTGAGTTTTCTCCAGTAGCAAATATTTTGTTGTCCATTGTTATCAATAAATAAAGAATAGAAATTGATCATAACATTCAATGGGAAAATTACAAACAGCGAAAGTTAACCAATCAAAACTAGAAAACTCAAGAATACAGTAACCATCAAGATCAAGAAATCAAAACTTAAAAAAAAATGACCAAAGAAGAGAAACAAAGAGCATCTGACCACCAGCTTCCATCCATATTTTGTTTATTTATTTTTTAAATTCTGGCATATGTTTTATTTCTTACTCTGGGTGTTTTGAGTTTTGACGCCAATTTGAGTACCTGCTACACCACGAATGGGCCTACCTATAGCTAGTACTTACAATATATTGTTGGAGTAAAGTATTACGAGCGCGATAAACAATGGAAATGTTAGTGAGTATTTATTTGTTTGTATGTAATTAAGCACAAAGCTACACACTGGGCTATCTGTGCTTTGCCCTACCACGGGTATCGAAACCCGGATTCTAGAGTTGTAAGCCCGCAGACATGCCGCTGTGCCACTGGGGGGCATTTAGTGAGTGTGGAGGACTATCATTCGAACCTAGCGTTAGTTACATAATAACGTACATTTACAAATGTTTACGCTCTTACTCAGTCTTAGTTCGATTTTTTGAGGGCCAGAATTTATTACTGGTACGGTGGTAGACAGCATAGTATAAACTAATATTAATAAAATTAAAATACTACAGGTAGTATTGGAATGGAACTGCTTAAGACTAAGTAATGTAGTAAGAGAAGTTGAACGAGAGAGAACGTCACTGAGAAGAGTATTCTAAATTTAAACTTGTGTTGTTTCTTATTTGTCTTCTTTATTAATTTACTAGTTAGTAACTTAGGCTAGTGTTAATTACTTTAAGTTTAATCTAATAAAACAACTGTAATGGGTACTTTGATTATCCAAATCCTCTGTTTGTGTTTTACTCTAGCCTCTAGGTATTCCTGCCAGCTAAAGCCTAAACTAAAGTTGGCAGATAAGTCTCCCATTATCACTGATGTCAATCATGAGTAGTTTACTCACTGTTAGTGTTGTTGTTAACATTACACGACCCGACAAAGACACAACTATGTAAGCACTGTTATTTTATTTGTAAACAAATGTGCCTATACTACAGGGGACTGTTTAATTAAAGCCTTGGGAGGGGGGGGGGGGAGGCAAGTGCCCCTTTTTGCTTAATATAATTTGCTTTGAGAACAATACACATACAACGTGTAGTTTGTACTATCTGCATGATTGTTCTATAATATAGGAAATAATTGGAGCAAATGCCATGAGCTATGTACTTTTAAGTGTGTTTGTATAAGAAACTGACACAAACTTCCCTTAGTGGTAACATATAGATATTAATGTTGTGAAAGATTGTGTAAATTATGGTAATAGCTGGTCACATGAGATGTAACCTCTTGGTCTAACCACAAAATATTAACCCTTCCTTGATCTAATCAAGTTCATGAGATATAGTTAGAACAGACTGTTTCTCAATATTTTTATTGGCAAGGGTGTCTTAGGAGTTCAAATAAACTTTATACAGAACTAAAATTTAATAAATAATTAAAATCAACATTTCATATTGACACACTTTTAAAAACTTAATTGAAGCTGTCATAGGCTTCTATTTTAAAACATAGACTCCCAGAATTATTATATTAAATTTATCTGTGAAATTGAAAGAGAACTTATCTAGATACCAAAGTGAACAGACTGAATAAAAGGTTTACAACACTTGTGTATTGCAAAAATACATTTACAGTTTTGCACACTCATTTTGACACCTTTATTATGAACTCTCTTTAAATACTACACCATGCTAAACCATCTTAACAGTAACAGTATGTATAACATTTGGTACAATATTTTTTATAGTTCCTTATCCATTTTGAAGTAACTTCTTTAAATAACAAACAAACTAGTGGTTATTCCTTACATTTATTTCAAACCATAACATGTAAATTATCATCAAATAGAATCTACTATGAAAACAAGCAGTATTTAATATTACCTGAATTTATTGGTATTATTATGACAGCGTAAGCCATGTGACACTGGTAACACGTAATGAGTTCTAGAAAGATCAGGGAACATCATGAACAATCCAATATTTGCTTGGCACTCTCTATTCTTGTATATAAGTGTGCCAGACAATTAATCGGAATTGTATAG